GTACTCCAGAGTGTTGTTCAGCATGGGGGTGAGTAGAAAATGAAGGCTAATCATGTTTTGGGTGTACTGTTCCTTTAACCAGCCCACTGCTCCCCAAGGAGATGGGGATTTAATGCAGAGAGTAAATTCGTTGCTCTGTATTTGTGACAATAAAATGCTGGAAAATGAGCAGAGAAGACAGCAAGGAGCTGAGGAGCAGAACTTCTTTAAATTTAAGAATAAAGCTGTCAGATCAGTTCTCACCTTAGACTTCGGGTCAATCAGGCTGACTCCGTGTTTATTGATCGCAATCAGGAGAGTTTCTGGGTAATTTGGGTCTGTTGTTTGCTGCAGAAAACCAAAACTCATAAATACATCAAGGATACATATATTGTTTTGTGGCTTTCATCAAACCACAGCATCTTTACCTTAACCTCAAAGAAGGCGGAGCCAAACGTCGACCACTTGTAAATGATTTTCAGGAAGGAGAGTTTGGCGTCTGCAGCCGTTTTCCCTGATTGTTTGTTGAACAGCGTCATGATCGACTGAGGGGGAACAAAAACCGAAGCATGACTGAACTTTATTCATCACTGGTCCACTAGAAAAATGCTGTAAATCAACTAAGACCTTTCAGTCAGTATTTCTTAATCCTTGTTTTTTACTGACTGACTTAAAGTACTTTAAAAAAACATTGACAAATACTTTATTTATACCTTAAGTTTCATATACTTTATAGTTTCACATAATCGCAATATCAGACAAACTGAGAAAAGTATAAAATGCACTTTTCCAATTGGTTTATTCATGAAAGGATAAAAAAAGCGTGTCATTTAAGCAGAAAAAATCTCTTAAACGTGTTTGCAGTTACTCTTTTACATCACCGTGGATAATCACTATGGAGGGTGAAAAGCGCTAAAGTTAGAAAAATAAATACCTTATGAAATAATTTTTATATGCATCATTAATTTATTAAAACTGTAAGTACACAGTGATTTTTTTTAAAGGAAAAGTCCGGTCACATTCAGAATTCAAACTTCTAAATTACCGTAAATTCCAGATTATAGAGCGCACCTGATTACAAGCCGCACGCTGTAATTTTAGAAAGAAAATCAATTTTGTATCTAATTTTGTTTCCCACGTTGTATGAGATATTTACAAATAAAGATATTACACGTAAGCATTTTTTAAACGTTTGATTTAATCCGTATGATAAAACAAACAAATACGGTACATATTATGAATGCTTTTTTTTTTTTAACTACCTGTAACAGATTGAAATATATGTATGTGTCGGTAACACGCAAATAACGCTGCATATACCGCTACTTTTAACTGAACAACGCACAGATCATGGCAGCCGATCAGGAAAAGTCATTAATCACTTTCTTCTTCCTCCTGCGCACTAAAACCCTCAAAGTCCTCTTCCTCAGTAGCTGAATGGAACAGCTTCAGCGCCATGAAAAAAAACACGTATTAGCCGCACTTTATTTTAGGCCGCAGTGTTCAAACAGTGGGAAAAAAGTAGCGGCTTATAGTCCGGAATTTACGGTACCTTAAATTTGAAATTATTACATACTGTTCAATAAATAAATAAGTGTTTTTAATTAAGAGTAATTTTCATTTGAATGTGCTTTACTGGAGACATTCATGGAGTTTTTTAGATTAAAAGGCTTGAAGTCAGGGTTCTGAAGCAGCTCACCAGAACTCCAAACCCTCACCCAACCTCCCCTAGTAGGGTGACCAAACGTCCGTATTTTCCGGGACATATCCGTATTTCACGTCCCGTCTCGGGCGTCCTGTTTTTTTTTTTTTTAGAAAGTGAGGAAATGTCCTGTTTTTTAAAATTATCTTAATTGGACCATTAAATTTACAGGCAC